TAATTTACATACTGTATTACGTATTCTGGTTCATTTTGTGCGGGGTTAATAAAACATTATCATAAAATAATAAATTTTCCCCTCCCCAAAATTACACTAAATCCCAAATGGGTTATGTGTCATGTTAAATTCCTGGTGATTTATTTATGTAGCACTAATAGCTGACCAGCCAGCCAGCCCGTGCCCATGGCTGTCTTGATGTTGACGTATTAATGTAACCCAGAGGATGATTATGAGAAGGGAAAGAGATGTTTATGTAATATAGAACTACCTTTAGTGCAATATTTTTGTACAATATTACTCTATGTATGGTATTTTTTGAGGTACTGTATTATGTATGATACTTCATGTTTATTAAAGCAGTTTTGGAACAGTTTATGCATATTTTTTGGCCTCCGGAACCTAACTAATTATTTCCATTCAAATCAATTAAACTATACAGTAGTTTGCAATTTGATAATTCATGACATCTTCTGCCATGTAACCCAAGCATTATTGCGACTCCACTGTACTGTATACTATACATATGTGAGGAAGGGTTGAAGAACAGGGTGCCCCCTGAAAACCTATACAGTATTAGGCAGTTGGAATAAGACAAAGGCAAGAACACGAAGCTCTGGAAGTCACACAGTGTGCAAAAAATTTAATCAATTAAATTTTTGAATTTCAATAGCTCCATTATATCTTTATTAAGGTGAAGGAATGATCACATAATACTGTAATATCTTACCTATTTAATCCTACAGGAACATCTTCCCTATATAAAACCTGATTCAGGAAGACACCAGGCCCAGTATCCAGTGGGAAAGACCCAACTGGAGGCTGCATCACCAAGGAGGGTGGAGAAATGTTTGCACCAACTGCCTTGATTTTTGCTGTCCCCTGTCCAGGATACAGCAAATAATGTAGATGAACCGACAACGCTGCTGCTGCAACTGCTGTCAGATGTGAGAGACATCCATCTGTGGAAGAACATGTGTAGTACAGTACTATCAATAAGCAGTACAGTACTGTATTAAATATTTTACTTGATATACTATACTTATTTATCTAAAACAGTATCTTTACTCTTCTCCCACTTTTGTGTGCAGTGGATTTTTTCATAAATTATCAAACAGAAAAGAAAAATTAAGGAGATATTGGGTAAAAAACTTAATTTTCATTATACCCCATAGTACAGGTATAGAAATATTTAAAAAAAATTTAAGTTCACTTGAACAAATTGTGTCTATCATCTTACAACTTATAAATTTTGGCACAATATTCTTGGTACTGTATTCAAACTACCCTAATAACAGATATTTATAAATCTTTGGGTAAATTCTGAAGCATGAGAGAGAGGAAAAATATGAATGACAAAGAAAAAATTACCTGAGAGCATTTCCTCTATCAGCAACTTTCGGCCGACAGTAAGATGAGGTTTCGTGGCAGTGAAGCAACCAGATTCACTTTGCCACTCAAATATAGCCATTAGCCAGTCTCGTTTTAAAAATTCCACATAGCCCAACATGCCACAAACAAATTCTGAAATTTTTTTTAAAAATTCAGTTACCAGTATGAAATAATGTCAAAGGAATCTGAAAAAAAATGTACAGTATTGGATATTATATATAAAATACAAAGAATTTAATCTACAGTGACCCCTCGGTTAACGAACTCAATCCATTCCAGAAGGTCGTTCGTTAACCGAAAAGTTCGTTAACCGAAACCATTGTTTCAATGGGTTTTTGGGTAATTGGTTCCAGCTCACCGAAAATTTTCTAAATTCAACAAAAATGGTAGAAAAGTTCACTTACTTTGAGGTGTGTATGTAGAAGGCTCCTGGATGATGATGATGATGATGGGAATTAGAATGGGGGTGGAGGAGAAGGAAGAAGAAAAGGCATTGGGGTGGAAGAGAAGTCACCCCATGGCACCATTTCATCCATAAAATTTTAGTTCTCTTGGTGTATTTCAAGATTATTTTCTTTAAATCAACACTGCACTGCATTATATATTGTCAATATGTAAAATATATTTCAAAATGACCAATAATTTGCTTGGAAACACAGAAAAAAAGTGTTTAGTTGAAGAGAGTCTCAAGCAAGATGTTACCTCCACTGAAAACAGAGAGAGACTAACGCCTGTCTGGTGTGTTAACAGGCTTGATGGCACGCCAGAAACTAGTTTCTTTACCTTCAATTATGTTCAATAATTGTTAAAATGACTAAAAAAGTTAATTTTAAACTTTTAAAATTATTGAATAGTAAAACTTCTTGATATTTACTAAAATAGTAAGGAATTTAAGCCCTAGAACCGATTAATGTATTGGCGGACTGATACTAAAGCTGGTTGCCCGGTCAGTGCAAGCGAAAACATGTTGAGGTCGGTTCGTAAGAAATTCGTTAACCGAATTTTTGTTCGTTAACCGAATTGAAGATCCTTATGGAAGGCAGTTCGTTAACCGAAATTTCGTTAACCGAGGCGTTCGTTAAACGAGGGGTCACTGTACTACATCACTATTACATATAACAACTTTATCTTCGGTAAAGTGGAACTAAACCAATTACAGTGGGTCCCATTGATTTATCATGGGGAATATTCACCTTAAGAATTAACGGAAGAAGAAGGGGGGTTATGTTTCTATTCATCATTAATGACACTCATCCTCCAAAAAAAATGGTGAATCTTCTGTCATAAAAAATATTTTTATAAGGGTGGAGAAGGAGAGTCATTTTAGGCATTTTATTTTTCCTTTTTTGTAAATACAGGGACTATCAGTGTGTGTTACTTTGGGTAAGCCCAGTGCAGCTGCATATCTAAAATGAACAAATACATATATACTCACTCCAAAGAGTAGCTTTACTATTTTGTGAGACATTATGACAATAGATGAAGAATTTTGACAACCATATTGAGACAACAGGAATTGCTATGTTCATTTTTAAATTCATTGGACCCGTTCCATAATGATACTGCCAGTTACCAATACTGTATGTAGTGTATAGATTTGCATTTGAATATCTCATTATCAATTGTGTTTGTTTTGGAAATACAGTAGTCGACCCTTGCCATTTGCGAGGGATAGGTTCTAAGAAATGGCGCGAATTGGCAAAACCGCAAATAGCAACTTATACTACCTTAGTGCACTCCTGTATACCTATACCAAACAACTGACCAGCCATGACAGCACTCATCCCCTCTTTTAACTTATCTAAATATAAACTTTCTTTGTCAGGGTCATCACTGACTTCTACCTTTTACATTTCACTCCACTAGCACTGACACAAAGCAGTCTTTTAGGGGCCATTTCACACAGAAACACTAAAGTTTTGATAGTACAACACGAGATGCTGCGTGGGGTGACTCGTTGTGCTGCGGGAAAAGGCTTGCAAGCTAACCACCATAGCCACCATGTGCTTACCGCGAATCGTTGAAATCGCGAATCGCAAACTCGCAAATGGCAAGGGTCTACTGCACTGTAGAAATTTACGAAATATATTAATGTTTGTTTTTTAATAAAATGTGCTTAGAGGAAATAATTGTGTGTGTAACTTACATACATTTGGTGTGGCTGTAACTATGTGTCTAAAATGAACAACACATTCCAATAACCAATGTAGTATGGTATATGGATTTTCTTATACCTAAACATTTAAGTAATATCTGGTGGGTTTGCATTAAAAATATACTGAACCCTCACTAATACAAATCTTTGGGTCTCTCAGTAGACTGAATTACCCTACAATATTATATTATCTTTTTAAAAAATGGAACTGAAGTTTAGCAATACTGAAATATGTAATAAGCATAATGGTGTAATAAACACATCTCAAGCCACCTCATATATTGTATGTAAAATACAGTTAGTACATGCATATACGAGGTCTGTCCGGAAAGTATCCAGCCATTGTGAATATTGTGAGAACTGGTCGCGCGGCCACTCAGAGAGGATCATACTGCGCATGCATGAACAGCCACACTCCCGTGGGACAACTCAGTTGACCGGCAGACGCCGTTGAGTGAGCGTGGGTACTGTGTGATCATCGCATTTACAATGACCAAACAATAACGAAGGAGTACTATATCGAAGTTCTTCGCCGGCTGAGGGATGCAGTAAGAAGAAAACGACCGCAGCTGTGGGCAAGTGGTGACTGGCAGCTTCATCATGAAAATGCGCCTGCCCATTCTTCATGTCTTGTGCAGGGTTTTTTGGCAAAACAATGCATCACCCAGGTCTCTCAGCCCCCCTACAGCCCAGATTTGGCTCCCTGCGACTTTTGGCTTTTCTTAAAGCTAAAATCGCTGTTGAAAGGGAGGAGATTTCAGACCGTGGACGAGATTAAGGAGAATGCAACGAGGCAGCTGATGAAGATCCAGAAAGAGGACTTTGCAGACTGTTTTGAAAAGTGGAAGGGACGCTGGGAGAAGTGTGTGAGGTCCCAAGGGGAGTACTTTGAAGGGGACTAAGGCGCCATTGTCCTAGGTAAGCAATATTTTTTTTAATAGTAAATGGCTGCATACTTTCCGGACAGACCTCGTATGTATACACAAGTATCCCTTTCTATTTAAGGAGGATGTTGAATGTTTACATGCTGCCTTCCACAGAATCCCAAGGAAATCCATCTGCTGTGCCAGTACTTAACTGCAAATTCCACATTCAACTGTGCATAAATTCGTGTGCACACAGACCCGTTTCTTGGCCACCGAGATCACCTGACCTTACCATGTTCGATTATTTTCTTTGGGATTACGTGAAGTCTATAGTGTACTCCACAAAGGTGCAGGACATTATTCAACTGAAATAGTGCATCACAGCAGCGGTGACCTCCATAACCTGCCAAGATGTTAAAAAATGTGTGGAGGGAAATTGAGTACTGTTGTGACTTAGTTCATGCCACTGTCATGGTCGCAGTAGTACCTATACAGTATTCTATTAATGCCTACACGGTTAATCATACATAAAACTTCATATTTTTACGAGTCATCCGTGCTAAGGTTTTCTCCCATACTCATATATGAGAAAACAAAGTTAGATGACGTCAAAGTATATGTTAGCCTTAAGATATAAAATATTCATAAACCTGTATGTGTAGCAATAAGATAATTATACCAAGAGATAACTGGGGCCTTCAAAATTGTTTGAGTATACCTGTATGTTGAAAACTTTAATTATCTGTAACTAGTGTGTAAAGTGAGCAAAACTGTGAGCCAGTGAAATAAGACCTACAGTAAGTGTTTTGCATCTGTTGCACATTACCCTGTCTTTGCTGTGTATTTGAAGTGTAGTTATGTGACCTGTGAATATTGGAGAACCACAGGAATACACTGAATATTCTGTAATATTTATATTAATTACTTCTAATTAATCACTAAGAAGTGCCTAGCATCTTTTTAATGGCCATCTGTTGGATGACAGCTAAACCATGGAAATAACCATGTCCACTTAGTGTATTTCATGTGTGTTTGTTATGAACCAGTGAGAGCTCAGTTATTTATTAGATTATAAATGTTACCCACCAATGCACTTGGCATGTGTCGATGCATAATGAAATCCCTCGGAAATTCATTTGAATGCCCAGAACGGAGAGATTTTTCTCATAATTTCTCAGAATACTGTACGTACTCAATTTTTTCCCCAACTAATGGAAAGTTCTGGGGATAAAAGATTCTGGCTAACAGGAAGATTACTGTACTCTGTTTGAATGTCATTAAAGTCGAGTGTCTTTACCTTTTCCAAACAATACAAGCCTGAGCACAAATTAAAACTGGTCACTAGAGTGCACCATGTTGTTAATGTTGCTAAAATGATTGAGCTCTCTTTTGTTATCTATATCACTCTACTCTTCTACAAATAATTCTAATTAGTATGCATACAATACAACAAGTATCTTCATCTTTTTTCCACTGAGTTTTTCTATCTTTTTCCACTTTCCAAAGTTAGTAATGTTGGAGTAAGAAACTGAGTTACAGTGAGTTCTGCTATAACGCGTGTTTTGATAACGCGAATTTGCCCTAACGCGATTTATGAATTCGGAACAATATTTGTATAACGCGATCGCTTGTTTGCTATAACGCGATTTTTGCTTACTATTTCTCCAATTTTGTGGTATTAACTGTGAATATGGTAAAGAAGAATATCTCCAAAAAGCATTCTGATGATAGAATTCCCGGTGATTATCGTAAAAGAAAGGATATAACACTTGAAGAGAAGCTTGATGTTATCAACCTCAAAATCACCCTTCTCCCCATCAAGTTACATTCATATTTTTTCAAGGTAAAGTGTTAAATTTACTGTATGATTTCATTATTAGATATGAATGTAACATTTATTTAGACTGTGCTATCCTTTGTGTTAGGCTAACTACTAAATTTTTTCGATTTCGAGTAATCTGCACCTAACCCTATTTTCTCCATAAGCCCTGTTATTTCTATTAGGCGATTTTCTATAACACGATATTTTACAAGAACACAATTATCGCGTTATAGCAGAACTACCTGTATATCAATAAAGTATTTGAAAATGATTAAAGCCTATTTATGCATGGTTAAGATATCAGCATAGAATAAAACAAATGACACTCACCCATTTCCAGCAAAAGGTCCCTGAACTTAAGATTATTGTCATTTAACATGGCAGCAGCTAGTGAATGAGCCTCAGAGTAGAGATTGGAGCACAGTTCTCCTTGGAGTTGTTCCACACTTTCACTTCGTTTGTGTTTAACCAACCACTGCTCTAAACGACTTCCACATCCACTCTAAAAATAGTCAAAGGATATCCCACTTAATTGGAATGCACCTAAAATCCAAATGAAAGGTTCACATTTTTCTTTGGTGGAAGATAAAACTAGTAAAGGTATGCTACTGTGCAGTTATGTATTCCACATCCTTATACAGATATACATGGTTCTTCATGTGATCCTACTGACTCTTGAGAGGTCATAATATTTAGGTTAACTGACTGCTCGTAACTGACTGCTGGAAAACAATGAGAGTACAGTACCAGGTATGCAACTGTATCAACAATTATCCATGAATTCAGAACTACCTATTAAAGGTGGCAGACTATTATTCATTGTCCTAAATCCCTCAAGCAAAAGGGTAACATCCATCCTTGTGAAGAGAATTTCAAATCTTTAGACTAGCTGTATTTTAGTATACTGCAAATATTCTTACAAAAGATTAATGAAAAAATTCATCCTGATTAATAAAACAGATGCTGCTGTACAATATACATCCTCCTTACACGTTCTTTCATTTTAACCAAAAATAATAATGACTTACTGATGCTGCAACTTTACATCCTTTCAATTTCATTTCTTCAAACAAACTAACACTCAAGGGGTTGCTGTTATCTTCATTTTACTTTGTTACACCACTGATTCATTTTCAATGAAGCTTAAACAAAGGATTGTGGCATGATATTTAATTTCATGATTGAGGATAAAAGACATGCGAACTGCAAGATCACTCAAGTAAACACCCCTGGCAGAGCCTATCTTGTCCTGAGAGTTTTATACATTCTGAAGCAAAGACATTGTCCACTAAAATACTAAAAGTGCAAATGGTTTAAACAGCCACTTGTTCAGTCAAATTAAAAGGATCTTGAAGCAAACTCTTGCCCTAAACCAGTTGTTGCTTCAAGAGTTAGTGAGTTACACACATCAATCCTTAATTTTTCCTGCAAATAAAGAAACATATAGGGAGGGATTCCTGGTTACTTGTTTCATGCTTTCATCAGTAAAATGGGATATCCTATTTCAATCCTTATAGTGTTACCAGTATGTCATTCAAACAGTGACCTACAAGATTCAAAATTCCAAACCAGCTAAGAAAGAGATGGAGGAATTTTTGCCTCAAATGGCTTAGTAAAAGCACCCTAGTTATGAAGTTTTCATTTTGATTTTTTTAACTGTAATTTGTTGTACCACAGAGTCTAGTGTAAGATTTATGATCCATAGCATCCAGCCCTTCATTCAATATACCGTATTGTACACGTAGTCTTAAAAAATGTATAAAAGAGCACGAGTTTAAGAACAGTTAATCTAAGAAGGATTGATAATACTGCAAATTACGATAAGATATCCTTAAGTAGTGGGTAATTATAAATGAACAAGAGCTATCTCAAGACAATGAAGCTCACCACCAGGTGCATTTGTTTCATAATGTGTCATCTTTCAAGGAGGTGACCACATGTTACTGGCTGATCATTCACATGAAATCAGGTAATTGTAGTACTGTACCAGGTAAGTTACATTACTGTATAACCATAGTTGGAGGTAAAACATTAACATGACCTACACTTCCTAAAAAAGTAGGTGGCTGTGACATTGTTTTTGAGAGATAGCAAAACATCTTCAGATAATCATGCACACATGATATCTGGTGATTATGGCTTGTTGTGACCCATGTTTCCCCAAAACTCGTTCACAATAATCTATTTTTGAAAGGGGAATTAATGTCACTTGATGATCATGCACATGAGGTATGGTAATTGACTTCAATTTATCAAAGACATACCGTACAGTAGTTACCTATTATTGACTGAGGTGACATTAGATAATCAATCACATGAAGTTTGGTGATTGTAGTCCATTGAAGTAATGTAGAACGAGAGCTGGACATATAAATAAACATTACCAATATACTCACAAACATATTGTATGTTACAATGACTCAAGTCATTCACTGATGAGCCAGGGGGGAAAATTAACACTTATTGTATAAGTTTTTCTACGTAATCCTTTGAGTGGTATTGTCTGTCTGCAATTTTACAATACTGCACTATACAGTAGAGTACAGCTAGCACATTAGGACTGTACTGTACAGTATTAAGTAAAAAATTTTGAAACTGTCATTACCTTATCTAATGCAGTACAAGACACTGATACTATCAAGAACAGTACAAGAATTTGTGACCTTTTATGAAGTACTGTACTGTATAATTAAATAAACAAATAATAATACAAAATAAATGAATACAAATTTAAACTTCCATACTCCTACATAATGAATACAGTACAGGTACAACTTAAAAATTAATCATTCATGTTTTTTGAAGAAAAAATTATCTACATGCAAATAACTGATTTCATAATTACCATTTCTGCAACCATTGTGTAAAGTATTTGATGGTTTAAGGTATATTTCTGTCTCCCAGGTTTGGTCATCATTCTTTGGCAACTCTCTGTCATCCAGCACATCACCCCATTAGCTGGTTCTAATAGTTCAGCCATGCAATGATCACTCTCCAGTTCTAATAAACATTAAAAAAAATCTTAGTTTCAGAATACAGTTAAGAGAATAACAAGGAATAATACCACTCGTTAAAAAATAATTGCTTGTCAACTTACTTTCTACATGGAAGAATGCACTTTATACTGTAAAACAAACTTACAAAGATAAAACCCTTTACATATGTTAAATGGGTAATTTAATTCAAAAGAAGCTCAACTGAGCAAACTTTATAAATACTACCATTAATACAGTATAAAGGTATTGAAAAATATTGTATGTATAATTTTCTTCACAGACTGCACATTGAATATACTTTTCACATGCCTATATTATTTATGTTATGTAGACCCTGCTGCCATATGGCATCACAAATATTGTGACCAAGTCCCAGGTTGCTGATCTGACTTTCTGCCTCATTTACACACAATTGGAGGTCTCAATTGTTTCTCTTACTACTGAAACACAACATACATTCTGTTTGTCACTTCTCACTCTTAATCTTTTTTCTTTTCTTTTTTTATTTATGGTTCTCTATTACAGGTTGTACCTCTCTAGTCCGGCAACCTCGGGACCTGACCGGTGCCGGACCATGGAAATTCACCCTTTTCCTGGATAGATAGGGACTTGTGCTTATGCTTGGAAGCACTAGCACCACTTTCTCTGCATCATGGTCTCTTTGAAGACATATTGAAGGGTTAAATTTCGTATAGTAGCTTTTCAAATTTCGCGAGTTTTTAATTCAACGTATTTTATTGGAACACACACACAAAAAAATAAAAATAAAAATTTTGAAGGCGGAAACTTGAATTTCGACGGGTTTGAACAGCCCGCCAACGTGCAGACGACGTGCATAATCGTGTAAACAGCGTCATTTCTCTTATGTACAAAAGATTCATTATTGTTTATTACTGAATGTCTTTTTATTGAATTAATGTTTGTGTGCAAAATGAGCAATACAATTCATTAATAATACGTAGAATATTAAAACACACGAGGAAATGACACAGCATTGTTTTCGTTGATTACAAAACCAGTGATTGACTGGTTCTACATATAAAACTGAAGAAAATAAGACCTTGGTTGTAGCTGTAGTAAAATTAATATGGTTGTTTTAAGTAATCATATTTAATGTTAATAAATGGAACAATAGAAGTAGCTAACGATAATGGTAAAGAAAAAAAGAGAGATCGTGTATGTAAGTGCGCAAACGTGAAAACATATCGTCATTACTTTACATAAGAATATGAAAGCAACACTTATTTACTGTTCATATATATTTCAATTAATGTTTCTGAATTTGTTTTTATTGAATTAATGTTTGTGTGCAAAATTAGCAATACAATTTATTAATAATACGTGGATTAAAACACACGAGGAGACGAGACGGCTGCCGACATTGTTTATGTTAAAGCTTACAAAACCAGTGACTGATTGGTTCTACATATAAAACTGAAGAAAATAAGACCCTAATTGTAGCTGTAGTAAAGTTAATGTAAAAAAAATTAATATGGTTGTTTGAAGTACCTGTAATGTTATTTAATGTTAACAAATGGAACAATATAAGTAGCTAATCATTAATGGTAAAAAAAAAAAGTGAGACTGTGCATATGTAAGTGCGCACATGTGAAAACATATCATCATTACTCAACATGAGAATATGAAAGCAACACTTATTTACTGCTCATATATATTGAAGGAATAAATGTTGTACTCTGTATAGACAAGCAGAGAGAGAAACAGAGAGCAGCCGAACTGCCGGATGTAAACAAACCTTAATTTACCGCGGCGTTGTTTTGTTTTTTTACGGGGATTAGCCCACCCGGGCATAGGTCACCGACCCACATTGGGGCCTGAGGGGCAAAAATTTAATACTCCTGTAATAATAATAATAATTCAGATACAGAGAGAGGAAAAAAAAAAAAAAGAAGAAAGAAAGAAAGAGAGGCTGCCTATCTACCTATTGGACAAACTAAAATCGTTCCGGACCACAGAATGCCGGACTAGAGAGGTACAACCTGTACAAGTTAATTATTTACACCAAAAAGGGCATTTTTCAAATTTTGCCAATGAAATTATTACTGCTGTTCACAAACCATATATTGTAGTACTTATGCAGCTCTGGTATCTGATATAATGCTTAAAGGTACCAAATTTTCTTGCATATATTGACTTTTATTCCAACCTCTACTTGATACTAAGGATTTTTCTTATGGTCATTTTAACATTGAGAACTAATATTTTGTAAAAGGTTTGCTTGTTACTTATTGAACCAGTACATTACCTTGGAAGAATACAGTACAGCTCCATTTCTGTAGCATTATTAAGATGCAACCATTTAATCGGCACCCCCCCATCCCTATACAGTAAGTCCCCATTGAACGAATCCCCACTATAATTAAAGCAAGTTTTTACTACCCATTTTCTGATTAATGGAAGAATGTTTCACTATTACAAAAGGTAAGTAAATACAGCTGCTGCTGCTACCACCACCACCACCACCACAACTGCATTGCCAGCCACCTCTCCTCCATCAGCTGCCACCACCACCACACAGCACTGTCACAGTGCCTCAAGTGAAGAGGTAGATGATCCTGTCCCTGGCTGTATTTGAAGATGTCGTTAATTTGGCAGGATTAAACTGTGCAAGTCCACACCCTGGGAACTAGGGTGGTTATAGGGCGGGCGGGTCGTGTTGCGTCTCTGTAACAAAGCGTGTTCGGCATTCGGGCCTTCGATGTAGAGCGGCAGAAATTGGACAGTGATTACATAAGATCGTCAAGATCGTCTTAGTGAGGTGAAAGTGTAAATCGATGTAGGACTTTTCATGCTAGACACGATTGTATTTTTGAAAACTCAATTTCCACCGAGTTGGAGGTACAGCCAGAGTCACAGGCTTATAACCACACAATCACTGCCACATGACAAAGCTTTTATTTTATTTTATTTTTTAGGGTGTTGTGGTCACGGCTGTGATAAAGGCCAACCAGGGAGTGTAGTACTGTGCCTTCAGTTAAATCAGTTCATAGTTGTCATCAGTGAATGCAGAAGAGACTATAAATAACTTAAAGTGAATACATATTGGCAATCAAGCTGGTAAGGACAACTGCCAGCCTATTCGTGTCATAGGTGCCACAGAGACTTTAAATTTTATTTTGTTTGTGTGCTTACTCAAGGACTGAATCTGTGCCTACAATACACCACTCACAGGGAGATACAGTGTACGCAGTCGCAGACGACAACTCTATAGGCAACAGAGAGTAGCTAAGTACTTTTTCTCTCTTTATTTTTTTGAAATAGGTGTAGATTTATACACAGTCTGCACCCCCCCCCCCCACAACAACAACAACCATGAGTTTGATATGTGATTACTGCAGGGAGACGTCGGATATGGAGGATACAGGCCTAACTAATGCAACGTTTAGGAAGTTACTAACTGCCGTAAAGCATGATGGCTGTTGCTGGTATTGCTCTGGCTGCATAGTCAAGGTGAATGAAGCGATTGCAATCCATAAGGGAACGAGTTCTCTAGGGACGAAAATAGATGAAGCAGGAGCCCTGCTGGTTGACAAACTGGAGCAAGTTGGGAAAGAGATCCTTGCTAAGACTGAGGAAGTAGCTAATAGAATGGAGGTGGTTGCTAAGAGGAGCTAGGCGGACGTATTAGGAGGGCCACGGGTGGGGGGGGCGGAGAGTAATGCAGAATCAGTACAGGTTCTACAGCAGATTGGGACTCTGAAAAAGTGTGTCGAAGAAATGAAAATTAACGGACCTACTGTTAGGGGAGAGGAGGAACACCAGGAACGGCTCCAGCGCAGGAACAATGTAATAGTTTTTGGAGTCCCAGAGAGCCAGGCAGAGGGAACTGTGAGTAAGGAAACACACGACAAGGTGCTGTTTCAAAATATTTGCACAGAGGTTCTGAAGATTCCAGCAACCCCTCAGGATGTGAGGAGACTGGGACAAAAGCAGGGGGCTAAGCCTCGCCCCCTCAGGATCACACTAGGGAGTGAGGAGGAGAAATGGCAAGTTATTCGGCAGGCAAAAAACTTAGCAAGGAGTGAGGCATTTCGGGATGTATTTATTCACCCAGACCGCATGGTAATGCAGAGGGAACAGCACAAGAAGCTCCTGCAGGACTTGAAGCAGAAGAGGGAGGAGTCGAGGAGGAACGGGGACAGGTGCACATGGGTTATACTCAGGGGGAGGGTTGTGGAAACAAGTGTGCCGACACAGGGCCAGGGGGCAGCAGTGCACCCTCCACCCACTCAACCCCCCACCCGGGAGGCGGCACCAGCTCAGCCTACCGGACAGGAGGGAACGAGCGCCGTGTAAACAATGACATTTTTAACCACACCCTGCAAAATACAGTGTACTTAGCAAATGCTGCAGCTTCTGAGAATGTGGGTGGAGCGGGTTTATTACTAAGAGCAGAGACGTTACCGAGAACAAATTCTGGCTTGAATGTCATGTACACTAATACCGACACGTTCCTTGATAAGAGAGAGGAGTTTGAAACACTACTAAGAGTACACCAACCAGATATTGTAGGAGTTGTAGAACTGTTGTACAAGAACAGGAGAATCAACCCAGAGGAATGTGAGTTCAGTATTGCTGGATATGACTCATTTACGAACCTAACTCAAGAATCCTGCAGGAGGGGTGTGGTTATCTACGCTAGGCAAGACCTTAGAGCCAGCCAGGCGAGGGTACAGGGAGAGGATGTTTTTGAAGAGTCCAAGTGGTGTAAAATTAAATTAAAGGAAGGGGACTTACTTATCGTCGGGTGTATCTACAGATCCCCAAACTGTGGCCCACTAAATCAAAGGAACTAAGAACCTTAATAAACAATGCGGCGATGCTCAACCCCAGCCACCTCCTTATCATGGGGGACTTTAACTATGGCGACATCGACTGGAGAAACGAGTCCACCCCGAATGACTTGAATAATCCTGCTACTCTTTTTGTAGAAACCCTGAGAGATAATTTTCTGTTCCAACATGTGAGAGACCCAACACATTACAGAGGGGAGCAAACACCCAAGCCACTTGACCT